AGTAGTAGTAGTAGTAGTAGGAGTAGGAGTAGGAGTAGGAGTAGTAGGAGAAGTAGTAGTAGTCGTGGTGGTGGTGGTGGTGCCTCCACAAAGGTTTTTCTTGGATCCCGAGTCAGTGGCGTTTTTTTGGCAGCCCAAGATCGTCTTTGGGCCCTTTGGCAACGAAAACCAAACATGTGTGCGGCTCATTCACTTCCATTCAAGGACCCTCCGGAACTCGGCCTTTCACTTGTCTAGGCATGTCTAGCCCTTCGCATCCCTGTAGGAAGGGGTGAACCTGAACCAGAACACATGTGGCACACCACATATATCCACACCAGAACACATCTAGTTAAGCGATCCAGGTAAGAGGACCATAGTAAGAGGACCATTTGAACACGAGGGATCTTTTTAATACACTCCATGTATGGAATATATGCCTACATTAACCCCCCAAGCCACCCCAATGTAGGCATATATGGCATACATGGAGCGGTTGGGACATATGAACACAAGGGATCATATTCAATATATGGTGTACATATCGTGTACAAGAGATCCATCGTCAGAGGACCATGTGAACGCAAGAGATCCCCTTTCACTTTCCAAGCTCGTTGGTCTTTAGACACCTCTTAACATCTCCAAGAACCCATTGATATATGACACTCCTCTTAACCTCCAAGAGGCACTTTGCCTCAACGAGCGTTCACCGGGCCACGGGCCTTGTTTCAGGCACCGAGAGACGCAGCTGGCGGTCCAGGTGCGGCAGGGCCTGTGCGGCTACTTCGACAACTTTGGAGCCTGGGGCGTCCGAAGCCTAGCGCCCTGCGGCGTCCGTGTTCGGCCGTGGGTGATGGACCTCATAAGGTCGGTCGAGGACTGGAGGTCAAGTCAAGGGCCTGGAGTGAAGGGTCACAGACTTAGGCACAAGCTGGCAGTGTTGTTTGGGTGTGTGCAGATGTGTGCAGCTCGGTATACCTGTCCACGCGGATGATATGGCACAGACCAATTGAAGTGTTGGAGCCTTTAGGGTCACAGGCTCCCCACGGATCAGGGATCCCCAAATTCTTCATGTTGCATCCATTTTGCCA